CTCTGTCTCACGGCATTAGGTCCTGCGCTGGCATGCAAACTCTAAAAAACGGTCCCCCCCACAAACCACTCAGACTTCTAAACGAAAGGGTTTTTCAGCTCTTCTGCTCCCAAACCTGGAGTGGCTACCAACGGTTAAGTTTCACGTGGCCTTGAAAAATACATACTTGCTAACAGTGTCATGCTAAAAACTGCTCTAACATCAGGTGGTTGTCATGAGGGCCATCATGAAAGCTTATGGGATGCCATAGCCACTAGGAGTCCCAAACCAGAAAAGTAGGCCTCCATCTTAATACAGTCCATTCAAAAATAGGTGTCACAGAACAAATGCAAAAGACTCTTAAACCCACAACATATGTACAAGAGTAAAAGTAGACAAAATGGGAAATTAATGGTATAATGGCATAGAATGTTTCTCCCTATGTGATTCAAGGGATGAGGCATCGTGTTTTGAACGTAAGTTGGATGAAGAAAATGTGTTTAGAGGGCCCTTTGCCAATACTTATTTGATCAAAATTCTTTATATGGCATTTCAATGTTATTTCCAGTTGTTTTATTTTTGAAGAGGGACTGTAAAATGTCTAATAAAACAACGTAAGCATCAAAGTCACTTTAAGGACCCTACCGTAAATATATATATTTTTTACACATTTTCAAACTTTTTTTTGTCATATTGCTTTATTCTTGTCGCTTTCACAGCAGAGAAAACCCAAGTCTATTGACTACATACAAGAAGTTTGATCAAACAATGAAAAGGGAGCCTCCATTTTGCATGTCCAGGTCGTTTCATCAATTGCTCATGTGAAACCACATCTCAACTCGATCATATTGCTTTTAGTGGTTTGTTTTCTCTACAGAAAAGTCATCTGCTTGCAACTGCAGGCAATAGAAGTTCCCAAGTCATTTAAAACAGTCCTATCTGTGCACTGGCAGAGGTATTGAATCTTTTAAGAGTATCTCTACCCAATAAAATTATTACTTTTATACATGGAACATTATGAACGTATGTTTCCCTTTGTAAGCCATTTTATACTTTCTGCACTTTTGTGCTTTTATTGAGTATAAAAATAGGTCTCCTTTAAAATTCTGTTTAAGTTCACTAAAAAACTACTTGTTTGTGAAATTCTCTTATAAACTCACTGCATCCACATGGAATAGATAAAACTAATTAGGCAGCTAATTGATATAGGTAGTGTTAAAAAATAACTACAATGGAAAAAAATGAAGACATGTTAGGATTCAAGAAAAAAAAAAGCCAGTAGCAAGTAAAATGGAAGAGAGCTCAATTCATTTTGTTTAATCTTGACTGTGATTGAAAATGTGGACTCTAAAGAAAGGGCAAAAAATACTGAGTTGTGAACAAAGGGCAGAATTTGCCAGATCATCAAATAAAAGGAGGAGATAGTGGAATAAATCTAACAAATGAACAATGAGGGGGAAAAATATCCAAATAATTAAGATAAGCCAAATGTCAGAAAAGCATGTACAAGCATTGTTACATGGAGACGGTTACTTTGGGAACTGGTAAATTCCTGTTTGGATACATAAGGCTCAGTCTTGGTATCCTCACAGGCCTAGGCTATACAAAGGGTATTTGTAACTGACATTCCTAATGGAAATTTTATAAAATTTGGCCCTTAGAGTAACTGAGAAATATCCTGAAAAAATCTTCCCTGAAACTGTAATAAAGAAAGTTTCTTATCTACTGATAAAATCGATAACTCAGTAAACTATTTCACTGGTCATCCTACATAAGAAAAAAGCACAAATATATTTGCCTCAGAAATCTGTTAAAAGCAGGGGACCACGCAGTAAAAGAGTATAAAGATTCTATAAATGGGAGAGTTCAAGAAAACCTCTCTCCAAAGTGTCCACAAGGATACATATGCTCATTAGAAGAAAAAGTAAGAATATACATATTATTAATCATATCAGAATAAAAAAGTTAAGATTGATATAATATATTTATATTGAATGACTACTTTAAAATAGAGCAACTTATTTGCTTTATTTCTCAGAATCCTTGGGCAAAAGTCATTTAAATCCTGAACTGTAAAACAAATGTAAATTTCTTGTACTGTACCAATATCAAGTGATTATTGTTTCAACTCCCAGGAAAGAGAAAAACAAGCCTTGCCTTTGAGTCTTTTTCTTTCTGGAAAAAAAAACAACTAAATCATCCTGACTGCTATATGCATGCATATTTAAATCACTTCCCCTTGATTAACATTAAAAAAAGAAACATCTCTGCCCAAAAGGGCTGAAATGATTTTTTTCTTAGCTAAAGGATAACCATTCTACAAATAATTTGCCCTGTGACTGTAGTCATTCATAACATACATAATATTTGCAAAGCACAGTTTAAATACACTGCCTTTTATTAGCATATTTTTTAAAAAATAAAAGGGATGCATCTCAGAGTGTAAGAACTGGAAGATTATTTCCACAGTTTAAAGAATTAATAAGAGAATGCTGGTTCAAGTTCTTAAAGATGTAAATCTTACCAAAATGCCATCATCAAAGTCTGTGAACTAGTTATAAACAGCAGGATACCCACTGGCTAGGCTGCAATGCACTCATGCCCACCCCACCCCCCATATTTCCATTTTAAAATATTCTGTCAATGCTTAGTTAAAATAAGACTTACTTAAGAGACAAAAAAAAAATGCATTTCAACTTTTATTGAAGACTATCCAGTGGCAAGAATACCTTGTGTATTATATTATGTTTTAGACATTCAATAAAGAATTCATTAAGAATGATCTTCACAATGCATTCATCAAAACAGCCTTAAATAGTGTTGAAAGCGCATTTAAGCGCCTGTCCTGAGTTCTAACAGGTCTTTTAATTTAGCTCTATTTCTCTTATTGTACTCTCAAAAACTTAAGTCTACCAAGCCTTTCTCTCTCTCTCTTTTTTTTTCTGTCTCTTAATCATGACTGTTTCCATTCTGAGGCCAATTTATTACACATTACTAATTTACTTAACGTAAAGTTTCTACCTCACCACAGAAAATGTCCAAGATTCATCTATGATTAAAACATAGAGCACATGCAAAGTTTTCAGATTTTCAAAATACATACTCAGTCTTGTAAAGGGGTTTGTGTTTTCAACAAGATTTAGAATTGCAGCTAAGGGCAGCCACGTAAAATCACCAGCACAAAGAACTGTCAATTGTAAACCGCTGGTTCAATTATCCGTGGCTAAAATAAATGTCCGACCAGTAACTGCATTAGTCTAGCATTTGGGGGGGCAGGGGGGTAAGTAAACAACTCCAGAGAAATCCAGTTCTACATTGAGGACCTTAACGCCATCAGACTCTCTTTTCCCAAGTGTACTACTGAAATTTGATGGTTCACCGAAAGGAAAAAGTCACAGAAAAGAAATCTGCTGATCTGCAGCAGAAGCTTGCTAAATTTCACATCCGGAGGGTGGGGGAGGCTCGCCCGGAGCCACCGCGAGGCTGGGGGAGGCCCGAGCTCTGAGCGCAAAAAGTGGAAGGGGAGGCAGCCAGGGTGCACTGGGGCGCCTTTGGCCTAGCAGCTCTTGGTGGTGTGCGAACACCTCCGTTAGGTCTCGCCAAATTGCAGTAAAACTGGAGGCCAAGCCTTAGGAAATCATTTTAATAGGGTAAAAAAAAAAAAAAGTCATGCTGATTTGCACCAAGTTTCAAACAAAGTCTCCTCTATTGCAAACGCCGCACTTCGGAGAGGCTGAACACCGAGGCTGGCGCGCTGGGCGCTGCGCGGCCCCCTGGAGAAAAGAGGGGCGGAAGGCACGGAACGGGGCGGGGGGGACCCGAGCCAGGGATGAGCGTGGCTCGCTGAGGTCACCAAGCCAGGGCTGATCGCGAGGGCTCGGAAGCTCAGGCCGGATCTGAGGAAGAGAAGGGGTGGTGGTGGAGGGGTGCGCGTGGAGAAGAGGATCGGGAGGAGTCGGGCAAATGGTCCCCAAGCGAGCAGGGAGCGCGCGCGCCCTGGGGTTGCGCCCGCGCCCCACGGAGGCAGATGGAAAACAATCAAGGAGCCCAACCGCCTTTTCCGAGGCGGCCTCTGCGGGCCAAGAGAGGTCCGGGCGGGTGCTGGGTGTGGCGGGAGCCTCCCCGGGTCCCCCTCCCCCTCCCCCACCACCCACAGCCTAGCAGCTCCCCTTCTGGCTCCGCGAGACACCGGGCAACCGCGTGGGCATCCCCGCGCTCCCGGGGCCCCGATGCACCCTGGAGCGCGCGGGGCGGCAGGGGCTTGTCCCGAAAGGCCTGGGTACCCTCGGTCGACCCCGCGATCATTTCCTCCTCACCCACGTGCTAGCATCGGCTCCCCGCTCCTCCTCACCCCCCCCCCCGCCCCCGCCCGGACCCCTTGCGTGCCGAACAAATCCCCAGGTGACTGCGACTTCCCTGCTACACAGTAACCACCGCGCCGTCTCCCCCCTCGCAGCGCCTTGGGCCGACCTGCCAGTCTTCTGCCTGTGCGCTCAGCCTCTCCCCGGCCGCGCCCCGCCGCCGTTCCTGCATCGCCCATCCTGGGGAGCTCCCGAGCCGAAGGGGCGGGGGGGAGAGAGAGAGAGAGAGAGAGAGAAAAGAGCCGGACGCGGACCGGACAACCACTCCCCTGGCACTCGTCACCTCTCAAAGTCAAGAACTGTGGTCGCACTCCAAACCTGTGTCTAACCTCTAAGCACAAGCGGAAAAGATACGTCAAAAGGGGCGGGCGGGGGTGGGGGGGTGATGGTGGTGGAGGTGGAGGTGGGACGAGTTTGAATCACAAAACGAAGCCGGCCCCACCCTCTAAGGGACAGCGACGGGGACCCGAGCGTCCCGAGCGCTCGCGGCTCTGGAGCAAGGTTGTCGCCACGACACGCAGCAGCCAAGCGCGAAGAACCGAGCCCATCCCGCGCCCCCCAAGGCGAGCGCAGAGCACTGACCACGCGAGCCCGCCCCTCCCCGGCCAGCTACCCCAGCCTCCCAGCGCCACTCGCCCGACGACCAGGATGGGTGGGGAGAGGTGGGGAGTTGGAGGTGAGAAAGGGAAGGGGGAGGGGAGGGGAGCAGAGGAAAAGGGAAGACAGGATTCTCCTCCTCGGTTTTGAAATAACCACGGAATGAAGAGGAAAAAAGAAATTGGCCTGGCAATGGAGCACTTTCCAGCCTAACCCCTCTACAAGGAGAAATCTCTTCTGCCACCTCCCAGCCGCGCTGACAACAGCCTCGTCACTGAATGCGCTGGGACAACAGGACCTCCAGTTTGGCTTCCATTGAGACTACTGGCGATGAGAGTTTCTTCTATCAGTTCCAGCTGATTTATTAAAAATTGTCAAGAAACAGACTTCCAGCACACAAAAATTTTTTTTTAAAAAAAACAGGCAATGATGTCGACAGTGCATTGAGTCTGCTTTGCCACCATTTGCTACAAAATATGCAGATGGTCTGTACTTTATTTAGATTATATTGCACAAAATGAGAAACTTTTTAAACTATGTGCCTTTTCTTTTTTGCTAAAAATCGAGAATCCAGTTTCAAACCTTCCATCTGGGGCCCCATCCACATATCACAGCGTATGAGATACATAAAGTCCTACTATAGTACAGTACATATACAATCTTTAAACTAAGATAACAGCTCTGAGGTCTATATCACCATTTTCAATAAATCTTTACCTACAAATATTGAACAAATCTCTACTATAGCTGTACAAAAAAAAGTTTGCTTTTTTTTTTAAACCACAAGGCCTTTAGATGCAAGGATTATTTTAAAATTTTAATCCTTTTAAAACCAGGACATAACGTACCAACATACTTGCATGCTAAAAAACAGAGGAAAAAAAATCAAAAGGGAAGAAGTGCCTGAAAGTCTTACTGAAAAAACACAGCAAGAATGTTCCCTTTTCACTGTACAAAAATACGCCTGAAAATATATTAATTTTTAAAAAAGACTGAGGTCTGTTATGTATCAAAAATGTTTCAATACCTTTTGTACTGAGGTCTAGGCTGTCTGGTATTCAATCAAGGAGGTATAAGGGAACAAGTTACAAAAAAAAAGTTGGCAAGTAGAAATCACATTTGTAAAACCATAAACAATTTGATCTGAAAAGTAAACTCTGATCTTAAGTCAGTTCACAGTTTTTTTTTTGTAAGCGTTTGTACAGTCTGCATTTTTTCAAGCTCCCTGCAGTTTTGTTAAGAATCGGATGCATAGAAGACATCAGTTTTCTCCCTCCAAAAAAATAATAATAAAAAAAAGTTGTAATGGTCCCTTTTTGTTTTTGTGTTTGTTAAAAAAAAAAACACCAGTTCTTTAAGATCTCTTAAGAAAAATAAAACAAAAAAACAAACAAACAAAAAAAAACTCCAATCAACTCCCTAGCGTAACAGTTGTGCTGCCAAAAGGGTCCTCACTGCAGACGTCTTCCAGACTTCAAAGACAGACAAGCTTCAAACAGCGCCTTCCGGAGCGGGTCCTCCCTCCCCTCCTCCGCCCCTTCCCCTCCTCCTTTGTTGCAATCACGAATTTCAGGAAAAAAAGAAATGGTAATTACAAAAACACATTTTGGGGGGGGAAAAATCACAACTCCATACTAGGTAAGCAACTACCTTGAGACACGATAAAGAAAGGGAGGGGAGGGGGAACAAAAAAAAATATAAGGACAGGGAAAAAAATGTTTAAAAACTACTCATTTCACTTTTAACTCCACCAAAATTTTCATCTTTTCCAATTTCTTTGTGTCACGACATCATATCAACATCTTCTTCTCTCCCCTCCACCCTACCACCACCACCATCCACAAACACCATCATCATCATCATCATCATCATCATGATCGCCACGACTTCCTCCCAAAGAACCCAGCTCTGCACCCGCCGAGAGAAAGAGCGAGAACGCAGGGCGCCCCTTCTCAATACGTGAACACCAGATCAGAGAAGTTCGCCTCCAGCCAGTCCCCTGCGATCATCTCGCTCAGCTCGGGCGTGCAGTAGTCGGGGAACTCGAAGTGGGAGCCCAGGCTGCCCTCGCTGAACGAATCCAAATCCTTATCCACTAGAGAAAGGGACAGGTTCCCGGCCGCCGCGCTGCCCCCCAGCTGCTGCTCGCTGGCGCTGTGCGCGCTTTGGGAGAAATTCAAGCTCAGGTCGAACATCAGGTCGTCGGCGTCCTCGCCGCCGCTGCTGCTGCTGCTGCTGCTGCTGCTACTGCCGCTGCTGCTGCTGCCGCTGCTGCTGGACGAGGAGGACGAAGAGGTGGAGACGGAGCGCGAGGACGCGGGCGACAGCGCGGGCTGCGCGAGCGGTGGCGGATGCTGCTTGGTGATGTTCTTGAAGCTGTAGTAGAGGCGGCTCCCGCTCCCCGAGCCCGAGGGGGCGCCGGCCCGCACCTCGTCGTAGAGGCTCGCGCCCTCGGGGGACTCGGCCGAGCTGCTCAGCGTGGGGCTGGCGGGGACTTTGGCGACGTTGTAGCGTCTCAGCAGCTGCGGCGGCTGCTGCTGGCCCGGCGGCTGCAGGAGCTGCTGGTGCGGCGGGTCGTCGTCGTCCTCGTCCGCCTCCTGCTTGATCCGCAGCTGCAGCTCGTCGTCGTCTTCCTCGTCCTCGTCGTCCTCGTCCAGGAACACGCACTTGACCGTCTTGCCGGGGCCGCCGCCGCCCGCGCCGCTGCTCACGCGCAGGCTGCCGAGCACGTAGTCTTCGCCCGCGCCCCCGAAGTCCCCCGCCTGAGTCGCTTTGCCCGCGCCGGCCTTGGCGCCGGCGGCCGCGGGGGCGGCGGGGGCCTTGAGCTTGCCGCATTTCTTGGTGGAGCTCTTGGAGGTCTTGGCGCCACCCGCGCCGCCGCTCGCACCCCCGCCGCCGCCGCCGCCGCCGCCGCCGCCCGCCGCGCTCTTCTCGGGGCTCTGGCTGGCGCTGGGCTTGGCCGAGGGGTCCATTTTGGGCTTTTTCCGGGGCCGGTACTTGTAGTCGGGATAGTCGGCCATGTGCTTGAGCCGCAGCCGCTCCGCCTCTCGGATGAACGGGATCTTCTCGCTGTCCTTCAGCATTTTCCACCGCTTGCCCAGCCTCTTGGAGATCTCGGCGTTATGCATGTCCGGAGACTGCTCCATGATCTTCCTGCGCTCGATCTTGGACCACACCATGAACGCGTTCATCGGCCGCTTGATGTGGCCCGACGCCGTCTTGCACCAGTCCGGGTCGCTCTCGTCCAGGGCCACCGGGCTGCAAGCCATGAATTCGCCCTCCTCCGTGTCCAGAGCCTCCCGGGGCAGGTTGCTCTCCGCTTCCAAGCTCTCCGCTTGCTGCACCATGATCCGCTGCGGGGCTGGGCGCTCCAACCCGGGCCGCTCGGTGTCGTGCGGTGGTCCCCCTCCCCCTCTCGCCCCTCCACCTTCCCGGGCAAGTTGCAAAGTCCTCGGCACCCCGCGGCCGCGGCTCCCCCCCTCCCCCCCGCCCCCCCTTCCAGGCTGCACACAGCGGCTGCGGTGCTTTCGGCGGCGACGGCCGCCCGGTGCCCGGGAAGCTGCGGCCGCGACCGGAGAAGCGTAGGTGGCGGCGGCGGCGGCGGCGGCGGCGGCGGCGGCGGCGACGGTCGAAGCAGCCCGGGACCCCCTTCTCTCCGGCTCGTGGCTCTCGCCGCAAGTGCCGGACCCCGAGCACTCCCAGGCGCGCGCGCTCCTTCTGCAAAAAAGTTGAGGGCTCTCTCCCAACTAGTTATCAGGGTGTCATATGGGTGACATCACTCCCAGGGCCAGCCAATGGCTGGGGACCGGCTCCGCCCATCTCCCATTATTAACTCCGAGGCCCCGCCCCGTCCCCCCGCCCTCGGGGCCGCTTTGCAAAGACGGGGGCTATGTTGGGGGGGGGGGGAGGAGGAGACAAGTCTAGAAATATGTTATTTTTAAAAAATCCGCGTGTGTGTGCACAGATGCGCCTCTCTTCGGGATGCTCGGGAGCAGCCCACGGCACCTCGACGAGCAGGCGCGCCCGGGGCGAACTCGGCGGGTTCCGAAGCCCGCGCTCCGGACCGGGTCCCGGGAGAGAGGCCCGGAGCCCCTTTGTGCCCAGTTGCACCCCCGAAGAACGTCGGTGTGAACGGACGGGGCGCGTTCCCTCCCCGAGTGCACACAGAGGAGCACGCGCACAGCCCGAGAAGGGTGCTGCCCTGCCCGCCCCGGGGTGGGCGCAGCTGCTCCCCGGTCCGTCCCCAGCGAGGGTTTGGCGGCCCCGGAGCGCTGGGGACCGAGTCCGCCGGGGGGGGGGGGGAAGCCGGGGTGCCACTGGCCGACAGAAGGTGGCGCTTTAACACAACAACCTTCTCCGGGCACGTGGGCTCTTTTCTTCTTTCTCCCTCTTTCTAGAGCAAAGAAATCCTTTTAAAACCCGAGAGCCGGAATTCTCTTTTATCCGTTTGCATTCTTCTGTTTTTTTTTTCTCTCTCTCTTTCCCCCCCCCATCTCCATCAGTTCCCCTTCTTCCGTGGGGTACGGAAACGCCGCAGGGACGGTTTGGCTGGGCCCGACCCCCGCGCGCCCCGCCCCAAAGAGGAGAGGCCGGAGTAACGGTCTGTGTGGGGTTTGGCAGGGGCTGGGTCCTCGAGTTCAATCTGGCCACTCGGGATGCTGATTGGAAATCCCGGTCTAGGACCTGCAAACTGCAGCACCCCCACCCCCACCCCTGCGTCACCCGGCTACCCCTCTCGCTCTCCGCTCCCGCCCCTCTCCCGGTCCCCTCCCCCCAACTCCCTCACTTTTTTGCAGCCTTCCTCTTCCTTTTCATCTCTCCCCCCCTTCTCTGTCTGCAACCCCCTAGAGCAGCCTCATCCAAAAATCTAGCACGCCTTTCCGTCTGGGTGAACAGCATACAGCAAGGAGCAAACAAGGTGCACCCCAAGTTTCCAGTATTTCCTCTTTCTCCGAGAAAAGGTGGGTTGGGGCTACCCTTAGAACACAGGCTCAGAATCTTTTAGTTTAGTAAAGCTGCCCCGTGCCCTGCCGGTCTTGCCGTGCTCCTTCGAAACGCGTTTCCCTTTGTGTTTCTTTATTTAGTTCCTTTTACCCATCAAACTAAGGATATTCTGGGGGCAATTAAAAGAAAACCGCCGCTTCCTCTTCATTGTCTGTCGTCATACGTGTCTTCACACCCGCCAGCGTTGGGGGAGTTGGCAACTTTGAATAGTTCCTAAGATACTGCCCAGAGTATTTCACAAGGAAAGTCAGCTGCTAAGACTGGTGAAATTACCCAAACGTGCTTCCTTTCAGGCGCTCTCCCCAGCAAATATCACGGCATTACCTAAGCTGTGCTCCCTTCCTCCACCCCCGCCAGGACTTCAATAACATGAAATGGTACCATGTTTATACAGTTCATTATTTAAAAGAAATTACTCCCATCGCTGTACCGTCTACCTCAGATTCGTCCTAAGAAAAACACAAAAAGTGCATCACATACTCACAATTTTAATAATGCTGGCGCTTATTTTATTATTTCTTTTAGGACAATCGGAGCTAAAAGAATTTACAGTCATGCCTTCCTGTGACCTGGAGTCTGGAAATATATAAAACCCTGGCGGTGTGTGAAAATTCATCTTCACTCCTATCAAAGCAAACACTGGATCTTGTTTTCCTCAGATTTTCCAGCTAGTTCAAGCTTCTGGGAAGACCCCTAGAGAAGCTCTCTCCCACTCCCCCAACACAGTACAAATCCACATTCTAGCTAGTGGGCTTGAAATAATTTAGCTCAGTTGCATTATTTTCATGCAAACAATGAAGGCATCTAATCGTTCAGGCTCTGATAGAAAATGCATTTGAAATGTTTGGTAAATCCAATATTCATTTGCCTTCACACTTTAGCAAAAATCACGTTTAAATTTTGAGTACGAATTACAGTGTAGTAGGACTGGGAAATAATGCATTTTATTCTCATGGTGCGATGATCTTAGAGGATATATAATTGAAATTTACTCCTTGAAATAAGAAAACTAATCACTGTTCAAGGAAAGGTGGTTCATTTGTCTCAGAAAATGCAGTGAGGGGGGTTGCTTAATAGTGTGAAAGGACTGGCCTGAGAATGAGAGGTAAGTGGTGTAATTTGATGAGTCTTTGCAGTAAACACTTTGCAGAGATTGGAAGTGGTAGAGCAGGAGTTCCTGGTGTACTAAGCAATGTGCAAAGGCAGATTTCTCCCTCTGTATTATAGGCAGGTTAGAATTTTCTATAAGGGTTCACTTGATAGCTATTTTGTAACATGGGCCCACCATACATATTTAATGTTAGTCACTTTAGTGAATATTTCACTGAGGATTGGAAAACTACCTGACTAATTTACCTATTATGTGTACTTTAATTTTTTTGCTTCCTCAGGGAACATTTAAAAATAAGTATGACATTTGTAAAAAGTAAGGAGTGAGAAGATATTTGGGACTTGCTTTCTCTTCATGGAACAGTATTTACTTGTGAAAATCAGAAATTTGCAATAGCAGCAGTGACTATTTAAAGTGATTTTACGCTAACAAACAGAAAATGCTTTTTCTTTCCAAGACATGCCTACTCTTGAAAGTGATTTGGTAAAATGGAAATATATCTGCTATATTTTAAAGACACTGTATATATCAGGATTAGGTCTATCTATATCTTTTTAAAAGACAATATGCAGTTCATTTATGCGCCTATAATTACAAGAAAGACACACATATTTCTTGCCAACAGCAAACTTTTTAAAATTATGCTTCCTGTTAAGTCTTAAGATATACATTTGGCTAGAACACAGATAACTTTTCTGGTAATTGACATCATTTAATAATTGCATCCTTATTAAGGAATGCTTGATTTACAAAGACAATTATTAAGGGAGTAAGACAATTATAAAAAATCTCTCAATATTATATTAAAGTCAGATCAAATATGAAATATTGCTTTCTCCTTCTCTGAAGAAAAAATTTGCTGAGCAAATAATATGCTATATGTACTACTGGGTAAATATTCGACTTACTGAATTGAACATACCATTTTTAGAAGTATTTCGACTACGTGTGTTTCCCCATTTTTTCATCTTTGAACACGCATACATTCGCACACACCCGATGCTTCACAGCTGTTCTTTGTGTATTTCCTAGATGGTGAAACTTATCACAACATACATGTTGATTAAAAGAGAAATATGCAATTCCATTTCAGAATCTTTATTTAACATACATATAGGGAAACACTAAGGTCCCCACAGGTGAATTTTTTTTCTCAAAGACTTCTACAATATTTTCTTATTATCTAACTCCCAACCTAACTTCTCTCAATGTTATAGAGCTCTTGTGTTTTATTCTATTTACCTAGTGCTTTTTCCCCCCACAAATATTATATTTTTAATTTCTTTCATTGTATTCAGTCCACAGGTTCAATGCTTCAAGGCACTTCTTGGGCTCCTTCTGCCTTCCTTCCAACATATAAGGACAATGATGTCACTTCCCTACTTGATTCTTCAGAACACATTTCAGTAGCTAAATGTTTAGAAAGTCTAAAATTAGTATTTCTACTAGTTCTATCCAATGTATGTTCCATAAAAGCATAGGGAATAGGTGTAGTATTTCTAAAACTTCTGGGATATGTTTGTATATCCTGATGTACAGACTGTACACAAAATGAAGCAGAACTAAAAGTGTCATTCCCCAATATCTCCTTATCGAATGTAGCCCCAGCTACTTCCATTTCATTTACTTAAACAGTGTTCGTTAAAGCCATCTGAATCAGTCTGTTGATGAGACATTATTGAAGTTTGAAAAACATTGGCATAGGTATTGAGAGCTAAGATACTGAACTAGTCTGTCTTGGTTTGAAAATTCTACTTTTCAGTGTTTTTATATTTTCTGGTCTTATCATGTAGTCCTTTATCATGTAGCCCTTGATATTGATTTAGTAGAAACTTAATTCAACAAACCTGCTTCTTCTAAAATTCACAACTTGTCTTTACTATTCACATGAATTATATGCTTCCTTAAAATAGACTTTATTTTTAGAGCAGTTTTAAGCTTACAAAAACAAAGACCAAAAAAGAAAAAAAAAGAAACCCTGAGTGGATGGTACAGAGAATTCATATACACTCCAGTTCCCACACATACATAGTCTACTCCATCATCGACAGCCTTCAAAAGGGGATACACTTCTAAAATACAATAACATCAGTATCAACAGTTGTCATAGTTTGCACCAAAGTTCACTCTTGGTTATATATATTTAGTGGTTTTAGACAAATGCATATAATAGGTACCAATCAGTATCATCCTAGGTAGTTGAATTGACTTTAAAATCCTGTATGTGTGAATCTGCAGAAAAACCCAGATATACAGGACTTGTTGACTGAAGTCTCCAGGCTCACATGGAGTGGGAATAGGCAACTTCCTCCCATCTCCCTCCCTACTTCACCGGTAGCTTGACAGTCACAAACTGCCC